CTAGGAATTTCCTAAGAAAATTAATGTAATACATGGCCCCTTCATGGCTAAAAATCAGTCGCTTGAGCGAGTCATTAAGCAGCCTAACCTCAATTTTTTAAACGTTCATTTTAAACTTGAAAATACAGTTTTCTTCAGTTTCAGTTAAGCTAGGTTATCTTAGGTTTGGTTATATTAAACTTGTATAAAACGTATATTTAACCTCAAATAACAAATTAAATAGAACATATATCTGGCAACGCAATGGCCAATCAGCAACAGGAAACATTCAAATCTGCATAAGACAAAAGCATAGCACCGCAGTAGACCTGTTGGCCTGCAGCCGTATTGCTTGTGGTTCCAGAATGGTTTGTATTAGGTTGTAGCTTTGGTATCAGCTAAGATTGTGGAGGGGCGGCGTTGGTGGCTGGTTGGTGCACATTGGTCAGGCGAGGTGGATGGGTGGTGGGGTTATTTACCTGGTGAGGATTGCCGGGATCATCGTCCGACTCCCAGCGGCCAGTCTCATGTCTAGCAGCCTGGTTGACAGTGTTGAGTCAAGCTGTTAAGACGGTTGTTGTTGTACACTAGGCACACTCGCCACGTATAGCCTACACTGTTGCCGTTTAATTGTCGACAGTCAGAAACCTGCCCAGGGAGAAAGTGAAACCCGAGATGCGAGTAGGTACGACAAGTCCCATCGACAAAGTGTGCTGCTGTAATAATAATAATAATAATAATAATAATGGCTCAGTGTATTCAACAAAGCCTAGGCCAGCCCACGCTTTCTTAGCATCTTCTTGATCCGCAACGCTATTGCTATTTACAACATATAAACCCACACAGTTATCACATCCTGGCAGATCTCGCAGCGTTAGCAAAAGCCTGTTTAGGTAATTACCAAGACCCATCAACAAGACGGACTTGAAAATAGGCTAGACATTTATATATCAGAGAGTAAGATAATGTAAGATTTTATTGGATTTTTAACCTCGGAGGGTGAGCCACCCATGATAATCCAAGAAAGGCAGGATGTGACCCACACCAGTCGACTAACACCCAGGTATCTACTTACTTGCCAGGTGAACAGGGACAGGTGTAAAGAAACACGCCCAATGTTTGCACCCTTGCCGGGGATTGAACCACGGACACGTGTATGAGGCGTGAGCGTTGCTTACAAGGCCACGGGACACCTTAGCGCATTCGGCTCACCACCAAAGGACACAAGTTTGATCTTGGGCGTGGATAAGGGAGGGGGGATGTAGGGAAGTGTTTTTACATTTGTTTCCCCTGTTCATTTAGCAGTAAATAGGTAACTGCGCATTAGCCGACTGTTGTAGGTAGCATCCTGGGAAAGAGACCTAAACAACCTCAATGGAAATTAGCCACACTGGCTTTCTCAGGTTATTCTGGATTACAGGCTCTCCGAATAAAGCCTACAACAGACCATAGGCTGAAATAAACTGTTTATCAGTGGATGGCTGATTGTGTGAGGCTGTCACTGTAATACCGTTGGAAGAATTACTGAGTATATTAGGTAAAAGGACACGTACAACGGGATATTTTATTGCGGCAACAGTTCTCTCTCCATCAAAGTATCCTTAGTTTTCATGTTTTAAGCAATATATCCCCAAACGTTTTCAAAAACTAAATAACCATACCTGGTGTGAAAAACCCCCCTCAGGCTAAGTTGATCTCTTCCTAGTCACTAGTACAATGGTTAGAGCGCTCAGCTCACTACTAAGAGGGAGTCGAACCGACACTAGCTGGGAAGTTAGAAAACTCTTGGGCCGTATCCCGGGTAAGGGCCTATAAAAGATCTCAATGGAAATCAGCCTCAGGAGTTAATAACTCGAAAAAATCATCAGCTGGTTTCTAGTTTAAATCAGGTGTTCCTACATAATAAGGAGCGCTGCATGACCCTTGTGGGTTTAGCACTTAGTTTTTATTGTAGTAATAATAATAATGTTTGAACCTATATTTAGCTATAAACAAGTCATACCATAACATTTATGATTACTGGAATAACAATTCGTGGCCTGCCCAAAAAAAAAAAAAAAAAGTCGTTCAGCTAACCGACATTATTAGTAATTTTCCAATTGATCCCTATCAGGTTCTTATGGCGTTCCCACATAATAAACCGATGTCTATAACAAAAATGCCAGAAACGTTTTTGACTACTAGACCGTGTTTACTAATTTTAAATTTTAAGACTTGTCCCATCTCTCCCGACGGCTTGCTTACGTCGTGCCGAATAAGTAAAACTGGTCAATTAGCAAAAACTCATTTAAAATTTAGTCCTTTCTAACATTTTCTCTTATACGTTTAAAGATTTATTTTGTTTAATTTATGTTAATGTAAAAATTAATTTTTACCAAAAGAACATTACAAAAACTTACCTAACCTTGCTATAACAAGCGCAATTTAATTTAGCCTAATCCAACTAAATATATTTTAGGTAAGTTAATAATTTAATAATGAACAAACACAATGAAATATATTTTTGCAAAATTATTGCACACACAAATTTTCGCTAGCCTTACTTGGCAAGAAGAGCGTTGCTATTGAAGCCAAAATCGCAAGCTTTATCTATTCGGCGCATTTACATGAGGTTGCCGAGGCGTAAACATCGCCAATCTTGCCCACCACAGCCGCAAGTCTTTTTGCCTCGCACTCTACATATGCCAAGGTCAGTGACAACTGATATTGGGGGGGGGGGGAAACAACAGGTGATGGAGTGATAATACACAAAGTGGGAGAGTGACAGCAGGTAATATGCCAGGTTGGGGGGGGACAACAGATAATACACCAGGTGGTGAAGTGCCAACAGGTAATATGCCAGGTTAAATAGTGGCAACAAGTAATATGCCAGGTGGGGGAGTGGCAACAGGTAATATGCCAGGTGGGGGAGTGGCAACAGGTAATATGCCAGGTGGGGGAGTGGCAACAGGTAATATGCCAGGTGGGGGAGTGGCAACAGGTAATATGCCAGGTGGGGGAGTGGCAACAGGTAATATGCCAGGTGGGGGTGGCAACAGGTAATACGCCAGGTGGGGGAGTGGCAACAGGTAATATGCCAGGTGGGGGAGCGGCAACAGGTGATATGCCAGGTGGGAGTGGCAACAGGTAATACGCCAGGTGGGGGAGTGGCAACAGGTAATACGCTGAGGGGTGATATATTTGAAGTTTTCTTACTCTCGCAGCTTTGCCTTTGCCCAGATGTCCTTGTCAACTGCTTGACCGACCACCCTGTAGTCTGAGATTAAATTTGTTTCCTCTCTATATATTTGATAGTCTTTGTAATGAATTCCATGCACACCCAATGCATTGTAGGTGCATTAATAAGGTGCAGTGTTCTTGTAAGTAGGGATGACATTTTTTATGTTACTTCAGGTGTTTCGGGGTATTGTATTCGCAAAAAAAAATAGTTAAGTATTGTTGTGGCAAAAAAATAATCTAGTATCAGTTGCCAATGTGTTGCTTTCATTTAAATTATTAGTTTATATAGTGAATCATTTTGGTTGTTGCCTCACCTTCGTTAAGAACCATTCTGGATAGCCAAATCATTCGAATTGTACAATGATAGCACTTTTCCCTTGCTCTAAGTATTATGGACAACAGTGCCAATCCACAATTATATTCATCGGGGAATGATAATCTTGTAAGGATCATACAGTGCCTGATGAAAATGGGATGAGTGGAAGTAATCAGATTTGATCTTTCAAGGCAGGTGTCTAGAATCTTATAATGGGCTATTGATCAAAGGAACTGGTCTTATCTTCCCCATCCTTGAATTGAACCTCATTGCCTCCCATGTCTCTGAGACGCTGCATAATTTGATCTGAAGATGGGCAGAGTAGCTCACGCTACTTGGACCAAGAGCCTTCCAACGTCAATGTACCCGCTTCCCTTGAAGGGTGTCTGCTGGTGTAAAGAAGACCCAAACAAAAAATATATATGGGTGTGTTTGTGTGTAACGTAAGGCAGTTCTGGTTATTGCGGCTCTCTCCAGCACGTTACAGATTCGGTTAGCGTACCGCGAAGAATTTTCGCGAAAGCTTGATCTGATACCAACCTGAGTAGTGGAAAAACAACTGTGTATAAAAACTAAGAGTATCGACCTTCAGCAACGGTGGGGAAATGTGTAAATATTAATCTGTTGCACTGGGACAAGCCTGAGGCAGATACCTTGCCAGTGCGCACGTAATCGGACACATGCATACATATATACACAGGTGTTCCAGGAAGGTTAATTTGAAGTTACTTTTTCCTTGTTAAAACGCCACAGAAGTGATATAACTACAAAACTCGGGTTTTACAGTTGTACAGTGGATGAAAGTATATTTTTAAATACTCACATTATTTGTATAATGTCCAGAACAAATGGAAAGCACACGTAAATTTGACGTAATATTCGTGGCAAAATGGATAAATTATGACAATTGCCTTTCACTCGTAGATTAGTCACAATTTACTGTTATATGTACATAAACGCTTTGCAAATGATTACTCAAACCATGCATATTTTCAATATTCCAAACAGTAGCTGTGGGAACTCTTAATGGGAAAACTGGCTACTCTACCGTGCCGGTGTCCACATGCCACCTTTTACCCCTTGCACTATAACAAAGTCAGACTGCAAATGAAAGAATTCATCTGAATTCTTACAAATTAAACACTCGCTGCAACATTTACCAAAGCGCTGCATACAAAAAATCGGTGTAAATTAGCGCATATGGAGGGTAACAGGTAGAATCTTGAGCCACGTCGACCACAGGTGCCAGCTCCTCTGCTGTGAAGCCTCCATACCTTCCACTTAATTCACACCACAGTATTACTCCAATAAGATATGTGTCTTTGATATGACAACCAATTAACCAGATATATCAAATTAAATGTAACCTATGCATGAAAGCACTGCAGACTCCTGTATGTAGACGAAATCATTATATTTATTCTAAGTTTAGCTTATATGCTGTAGTTTCGAGCAATATAGCTTTATTGTTATGCGTATCACTTACCACACATCTTCTCGAGGCGTACGTCTACTTTTTCTTAGTATAAAGGATCATAAATACACCAGGCTCCTCCACCCTAGAGCATCCACAACAACACTGTGTGACAGCAGACGAAACAAATATAAACGCCAGACTCTTGAGGCTCCACAGAGCAATGGAACAAATACTAATCAATAGAGAGGTTCCAACACTACTCAGAAGATTAATGCAGAGGCGTCGAGAAATTCGCTGCAATTTTATATTCACGGGAAGCACTAAACCCTCGTGGGTCACACATTACCTTGGTAATTGGAAGCACTCTGAAGTTTGTTTCGAGGGATTGGAAGTGATAGCAGTAATTCCTTAAATAATAAAAAAAAATCACCAGCATCCCTTGAAGGGAAAATTCGCTGTAAATTATGAATACCGCGCAAATATGTTCATAATTCGCAATTTTATTTGGTATAACTCAAATCAGTTAATATATATGTTTTAACATGCAGGTACTCACCACACATTTTTGCCGAGAAAAAGTTTTTCACAACTAAATCTGTGTACTCGAGCCGGACCAGCTACAAACTCGACAAATTTGTGGCAGATCAACACTTTTATACCTAACAAGACACACCTCCCATGGCAGGACTTGCCAGCCAATCACAGAATCACAATCTTGTGATGGTTACGCCCATTATCCCTGCGTCAGCCAATAGGCGATAAACCGCTCAGCTTCCCAAGACTGTCAGTCGAAAACTCACCTGCATCTATAATTTTCATGTTTTGCTAAATATGCGTCTTATTAATGGCTTCTGTCTGAGCAGCGGCTGCCAGTGAAGACGAGTGGTTTGTGGTGATTGCTAAAACTGTAATGTAAAACTATTTTTTTTCTTTGGTTATATTGTAAATTTCCACCCATTTCGCCTTCTTAATCTCGTACCATGTATTATGTATATATCATTTATTAACTATAAAAATGACTATATTTGTATATCATTTATACAGGCTAAAGCACATAGATGTTGCACATATGGCTTATTCATCATTTTGTCGGTATTATATACTTTTGATCTCATTATATTTCTTTTATATATTTATTTATATTGTGTATTATACTTTGAACAATGGGTTAACAAATATACTATAATATGAATGTCATTGTTTTCAACATGTGTCTAGATTACTTACAATATATCTACACTGTCGTTGTTTTGAAAGATCTCACAGAAAAATCAGTAAAATATAATATATTTACATGAAGTTAAACCCGTGTGAGTCACCACTTACCAAGTGTTGGAGAGTTTCTCGAGTCAATGTTGAAGGCTCGAGTCTCTGTCCCCTTAATCACAAAACTAATGCTATTTTCCCAGCAAAGCTACCGTAGAAAAATGGATAATAATAATTAGGTTAAGTACACATGGTTTTACTGAGATTGCTACACATACAATGGTTACAGTAAACACAGTTATCATCATCCACTGATGGTACATTACGCAGAAGTAACCCAGGATAACCAAAGCAAATCAGTATGATTTATTTTCATTGGGACTACACCAGGGATACCTCAACAACCTATTCTCATTGATATGTTCATTTCTTTTATTTTGCATGTACTGCCATAAAGGCCAACTTGTCATCTTAATGAATTACGTATGTTTTTAGACTTTTGGAGAGTGCAAAAAAAAAAAATCAGTATTTTCGTTTTTAGCACACTTGTGGAAAATTAAATTTACCTGGATGCATCTCATTAGATACATTACCAAGAATTATGGTAATTATTATAAATTTGTGGACTGTATGTTAAAATTAATAAATGATTACATATACACATTTATGTAACAGAAGGAGAATTTATAATCATAACACTCACCAATTAGTCTGGAGATTACTGTGTGTCATGTACAGAACCCTCCTCTGCCTAAATTTATGATGAAAATACTGGCCAGAATTACAACATAAATTAGACAGCTTATCTGAGGTTCCTGGAGCTGTCCTGTCCATCTGCTTAATGCTCACGTTATGCAGGACTGCAAATCCAACAATTTCGGCTCTTATTTGAGAGGTTTTAAGCCCAATATAACCCCTAGAGTGACGAAAATTATGCACATTACATTAGCGCGCTTGTACCACATTCAAAAAACAATGGCATCTCCTCCCTGCTCCTCAGCGCAGGCGCAGAGCTTCCCTGTTAGTTCACTTCTTTAAAAATACACTTTAGAGCAAAGTAATGTATTAATCAGGTATATTTACATTATAAAATTATACCTGGAGTTTACCTGGAGAGAGTTCCGGGGGTCAACGCCCCCGCGGTCCGGTCTGTGACCAGGCCTCCTGGTGGATCAGAGCCTGATCAACCAGGCTGTTACTGCTGGCTGCACGCAATCCAATGTACGAGCCACAGCCCGGCTGGTCAGGTACCGACTTTAGGTGCTTGTCCAGTTCCAGCTTGAAGACTGCCAGGGGTCTATTGGTAATCCTCCTTGTGTATGCTGGGAGGCAGTTGAACAGTCACGGGCCCCTGACACTTACTGTATTGTCTCTTAACGTGCTAGTGACACCCCTGCTTTTCATTGGGGGGATGTTACATCGTCTGCCAAGTCTTTTGCTTTCGTTGTGAATGATTTTCGTGTGCAAGTTCGGTACTAGTCCCTCTAGGATTTTCCAGGTGTATATAATCATGTATCTCCCGCCTGCATTCCAGGGAATACAGGTTCAGGAACTTTAAGCGCTCCCAGTAATTGAGGTGTTTTATCTCCGTTATGCGCGCTGTGAAGGTTCTCTGTACATTTTCTAGGTCAGCAATTTCACCTGCCTTGAAAGGTGCCGTTAGTGTGCAGCAATATTCCAGTCTAGATAGAACAAGCGACCTGAAGAGTGCCATCATGGGCTTGGCATCCCTAGTTTTGAAGGTTCTCATTATCCATCCTGTCATTTTTTCTAGCAGCTGCAATTGATATAATGTTATGGTCCTTGAAGGTGATATCCTCCGACATGATCGCTCCCAGGTCTTTGACGTTTGTTTTTCGCTCTGTTTTGTGGCCGGAATTTATTTTGTACTCTGACGAAGTTTTGATTTCCTCGTGTCTACCATATCGGAGTAATTGAAATTTCTCATCGTTGAACTTCATATTGTTTTCTGCAGCCCACTGAAAGATTTGGCTGATGTCCGCCTGGAGCCTTGCAGTGTCTGCAATGGAAGACATTGTCATGCAGCATAATTTTTGGGAAATTATTTTCCACAGCACTTTTTTTTTCGATGTTCTGTTCTTGACCGATTTCCCTGTGCTCGTTATTTAAGATTAGTTAAGCTACGTTAATGTAAATTGAATAAAATAACCAAATTTAGCAGAACTCAAGTTCAAAATGGTTTCGTTACGAAGGAAACCCCCATTGTAGTATACCTAAGTTAACATTTCATAGGTCTACTGTGCAACTAAAAAATATGACAGGTTAACATATCTAATTTACTCAGCTACTTGAATTATCGATCAATAAGTATGAAGAGAAACTTGTCTAGGATGTTAGTACATGCATGATTAATGTAGGCAAGATATACTCACTGTAACCTTGCAGTATGAGAGAGAGAGACGGACGGACAGACAGACCTGAAAAAATACAGGTAAAGGAATGAAGGATTACTGTTTCTTTAAATATATTCACATGTAAACTTAAACACTATGCATCAATCCTTAACGTTCATTGTGAGGTGTTAGAATGGCTGATATTAAAAAAAGAAACTGGTGGAACGATGCAACGTTTAATTACAACTATGACGTGTGAAAAACACGAGTCTCTCAGCTAGTGAGCTTCGATATCAATTCCACCCAAGAAGCGTGAAGCCTCCACATCTCTCTCATTTACCATGATGTGGATGACACCACCAAGTGAGGTGGATGTCGCTCCTCCTTTTCTGTTACCATGGTATTGATGACACACCATCTTTGCAGGGGTCAGTCATGTTGTGATCCTTGACCTATTCTAAGCACGTTTAATACATCTCAAGGACGCTCACTGATCAAGTAGCGTGTGAATAATACAAAAATTTTGCGAATGATATTAATGATGGTGTCTTACCTTATGACGCTTCCGGGGGAACATTATTCTTATTCGTATTACTATTATTATTAGTTAGTAGTAGTAGTGGTGGTAGTAGTAGCCATATCTTCATGGGGAAGTGTTAATCCCGAAAAAGAATACAATGCCTGGAGAATGAAAGGTAAACAGTTTTGATCCGATGAAGAGGAGACTTGCTCTGATTCCTTGGATTAAGAGCTTTTACCAGTAACAAGGCATCAACTTGAAGGAAATGAGTATGATTATAATTAGATGCTTTACGGTCGCTGCACAATCCCAGAAACATCCCCATATCACAAAAGCCCAGCCTCCACTGCCTCAACGCACGCAGAAGTACAGAGTGCGACATATCAGTATCAGCAGTGAAGATCTAAAACCAATAAAAAAAAACTCTGAAGTTATTGCACGGACTCGAAAACCCAGGAATGATCTATATTTCAGTGGTCCTCAACCTTCCTACACAAGTGGGCCTCGTTTGATCACATGTGTAATAAGGGCCGCACGGTTTTCTAGACACTGTGCAGTGTGGAACCTACATAACAGTGAATTCATGATTTCATGTGAGGACCGTATCCATTTCCTAGAAGGGCCACATGCGGCCCACGGGCCACAGATTGGGGACCCGTGATCTATACAGTTGATCACAGGGCACCTGCACATGCCAGTAGCTTACCTGCAGTTGCTTTTGGAGGTCACGGCCCGATCCCAGTTCAGGTCTCTAAGTTGTGCCCACCACCCACAGTCCAACATATGCACCAAACTGTTTTTAGGAATCTGTCGAGTTCCCTCCTGAAGACAGCTAAGGGTTTGTTGGGCAATCTTCCCTTATGCATGGAATGACGGTGCTGAAGAGTCGTGGTCCTTTAGCACTAATTGAGTTTTCTCGTTGTTCCCCGACGTCTGCAAAGTCTCTTGTGTTGCGTTATCCTTTGCTCTACTTACAGTAAGCCAGCTAGGAAGTATCTCTTCATGAATACCTAATTAGCCTTGATCCATAGTAGTGTGAAACTGCCAGAGCAGCTTGCTTTTTAGGTTTTTCACTCCCATTGACTTGCATAAATCCGCAGTGTGAGGCTAGATTCTAGGGTGCTGTGGACGCGGCGCCTATAGTCA